CCTTTGCCAGGCCCTGGTACTCGCGGTTGCGAGGCGGCCAGCGGGAAGCAGCCAAGGAGCGTCCTGCCCGGACTCCAGGTGCCAACGAATGGAGCGACTCGAGCATTCCTCCACGCCTCAAATTCAAACAAGCCTCAACAAAAAAAAGACACGCCAGGCAACGCGCTGCGCGTGGCAAAGAGGGAGAGAGAGAGAGAGAGAACACCGATGAGAGAGCGTGGCGTAAATGATGCCCAAGCCACCACACGGGAAGGACAAGGGGAAGGTTGGACGAAGGACTTGGATGTTGGTGTATTTGGGGAAGGCGGAGGAGGCACTTCTGTGACTCGCCAACACCAGCTGAAGCGCAGGAAGAGAGTGCTGACAGATGAAGAAGGACATCGGAAGTTGAGAGAGAGAGAGAGAGAGGGGGGGGGAGAGAGCGCGTGCGCACGGCGCCTGTGCCAGCACCTCCTGACACATCAACGAACTCACGTCCTCGGCGAGTAGACACTGATGATGGAGTCGATGAAGCCGGCGGCCAAAGTCATGTGCACCGGGTGGAAGGCCAGACAACTGACCGGCGCCAGACGCTGGCCAAGGAAGCCCAGGTGGTACCGAATGGATCCCACCGACTGACTGTCCGGCGTGAAGACCTGGATGTACTGCTGCTCGTAGCCACTGTGGCAGGGAGGCAGGGAAGGGATCATTGCCCAGGCAAAGGACCAACATGGGGTTACGGGGTTAGTGAAGGAGGAAAGGAGGGGGAATCAGATGGAGGGGGGGCAGGTAGAAATGAGAGAGAGAGAAATGAAGGAGAAATGAAAAGGACAAGTAAAGTCCAACGGACCAGGCAAGCAGCGGCGCGCGGTCGTGCACCGTCAGTGCGGTCAGCCCGCCCCCGCCACTGGGTGTGGAAATGGTGTTGATGAGCCCGGGCAGGGGGGCCCCAGGAGCCGGGGCCCCGGGGAAGGGCGGCCCTCCAAGCATTGGCGATCCGCCGAAAGTCGACGCCACTCGCAGGTCCCACACATTGACAATGCCGTCATTGCTGCCGGTGACCAGATGGTGCACTGAGCCGAAGCCCCAGTTGGACACCCGAGGCACACACGACGCTCTTCCGATCTCCCAGGAGCCGGGGCCCCGGGGAAGGGCGGCCCTCCAAGCATTGGCGATCCGCCGAAAGTCGACGCCACTCGCAGGTCCCACACATTGACAATGCCGTCATTGCTGCCGGTGACCAGATGGTGCACTGAGCCGAAGCCCCAGTTGGACACCCGAGGCACATGGGTGGTGACGACGTAGCCATTGTGCGCCCGGCCCAGCTCGCGGATGAGCGCCGACCGTGAGGGACAGCGCCGGTCGAATATCCGCACCGAGCCATCGGCGAAGCCGACCACCAGCGAGTGGGGCTGATTCGGGTCCGAAGTGATGGAGGAGGCCGCCACGCGCGGAGGGGCCGAGGCTGCCGCCGCGGCCGACGCCGCTGCCACCCCGGCGTGCAGACGCCCAGGTCCGGCCCCGGCGAAGTGGCCGAGTCCGGCCCCGGCCCCAGGGGCCGAGGTGTCAAACTCATGAACGCACACCTCACGCGCGGCGTCCCATACCCGGATGGATGACGAATTGCCGGCCACATTCAACAGTCCGGTCGATTGCTGCCAGTCGAAGACCAGATCCGAGGTGGAATTATTATCTGTAGGATGGCGGGAGGGAGGCAGAAAGAGCGAAGAGTCAGGGAGAGTTGGGAGGTGACCTGAGAAAAAGATGCAAAGCGGAGGGAGGAGAGGGAGGAGAGGAGAGGGAGGGGAGGAGAGGAAAGGGAGGGGAGGAGAGGAGAGGGAGGAGAGGGAGGAGAGGGAGGAGAAGAAGGGAGGAGAAGAAGGGAGGAGAAGAAGGGAGGAGAAGAAGGGAGGAGAAGAAGGGAGGGAGGAGAGGGAGGAGAGGGAGGGAGGAGAGGGAGGGAGAAAGGGAGAGGGAGCCATGGGAACGCACTGCTCGAATGAGGCGAGATGTCGCTGAGCGCACGCCAGGCCGAGATACACCGGACATTGCGCGGATTGGCGTAATCGGCAAAGATCTTGACAACACCATCCGAAGATCCGGTCATCAGCAGGGTGTTGGCATCGTCCAGCTCATTCATGAAGCTCAGCGCGGTCACTCGACGCCGAGAGGTTGACGAGGGGTTGAAACAGGCCGGCATCAGCGAGGCGAAGGCATCGCAGACAGGCTGCGTATTGTGCACCGGCCGTGACAGGCCGGAGTAGTGTGGCATCGCCAGGGACGAGTGGTTGACAAACAGGTTGGACTTGGTGTTGCTGTTCATGTCCCAGACACTGAAATGAAGAAGGCCGGGGGCGGCGTAGAGAGGGGGGAGGGGAGAAAGAGGTGAAGAATAAGGCGGCGGAAGTGCGGAGAGAGTGGGCAGAGAGAGAGAGAGAGAGAAAGAAAGAAAGAAGACGGGTCAATAGATGAACGGCGAACTGAGGGCGGAGCGGAGGGCAGCGGGGAAACACGCTCGTAGGAGCCCTTCGCACCTGATGCATCCATGCTCGTCGGCCGCCACCAGCTGCGACTCCACCGAGTGCCAGAGGAGCTGACTGACAAAGCCGCTCGGACCGCCGGACGAAGCATTCAGCCCGCCGTGCGCCGACCCATGCGCCAGATGCCCGGTCCCCGGGGCGCCGGGGCTGGAGAATGACATCGAGTCGGACATCGGCCCGGAAATGGCCGCCGTCAAGGTGGCCACCCCGGTGTGAGAGAGGTTGTAAACATTGGACGAGTGCCCAGGCAGCAGGCCCGAGTTGTTGTCCAGCATGGCCACTTGGTCTTCGAGGCGCCAGCGGGAACGCTCATCCTCGGACCCGAGGGTGCCATCCCCGCCCGGGCCACCGGAGCCACCTGGGCCACCGCCAGATGGGCCACTGGTCCGGCGATCGCGCCTACGCTGCCGGGGCAGCGTGCCACCGTCGCCCGTGGACGAGGGCCGACCGCCGCCCGAGCCGGCCTTGTCGCCAGGACCACCGCCCGGGCCGCCCACGCCGCCGGAAGAGCTCGACCCAGCGGAAAAGATGCCGGTCGGGTGCGCCGGGGGCAGGATCACCGGCGGCGGGAGAAGCAGAGCCCGCGCACCGGGAGGACTGCCAAGTAGAGGCGCCCCGGCCGGGGTCAGGGGCAACCCGGCGAGCCCCGGCGATCCGCCAGCCACCGGGGCCGACGCCGGCAAACCAAACCCGAGTCCCGGGGAATCCAGCGACCCGGTCGAGTGAAGCGCCTCGGTGGAGGCCGATGCCGACAGCGCCATCCCCTGCAGCGACAGGCGGTCCAACGAGGAGGGCGACCCGGAAGAAGGCCCGACAGGGCGTGGCACACGTGCCGCAGGGGGCAAACTCCACACCGGCGGTGGAGGATACATCCCGCGCAGGGTGACCGACAGTCGCAGGTGCCGCTGGCGACGCCATTGCAGCGCAACCGCCGACGGGCCATTCGGCTTACGGGTGTCGCGGCGCTCCGGCCCGGTGGTGAACATCTCGGAACACCAGTCAAAAAAGTGTGAAGTCAGAGGAAGCGGCGAGTGCTCCAGCCGCCGGCGATGGGTCACCTGCGGCGTGCCCAGGTCGCCGGAACCGGCGTCCGGCCCGGAGGAAATGCCCGAGGAGCCGGAAGCCCCCGCATGACCGGGCCGCCCACCGGACCCGGACCCCGAAGGCCGGTCGCCTTGGTCGGCTGGGGTCCGGCCACCGAGACCCATGAAACGCATCACCGCGCTGGTGGAGCTCAAACCGAAGGTCGACGAGGGCCGAGAACCGGTGGTGCTGCTGCCGGAGGAGGACCCGCCAGAGCCAGTCTGGCTGGTGCCGGACGACGGCCCGACGGCGGCACCAGGCCCCCCGGCCGCGGCAGAAGCACCAGAAGCAGCACTGGCAGAGGCGGCGGCGGCGGCGGCGGCGGCGGCCCCGCCGGGGCCACCGCCGGAGATGGACGCCCGCCCGGCCGCACCACCGGTGACCGATCCGCGCCCGGGCTCCCACGCGCCGGCGGAAGTCAAATCACCCGTCGACCCGCCAGACGGCGGGATGCGTGCTTTCGTCAGGATGAAGTCCACCACCACCTGGGCCAGGTACGCCACCGCGGGGAAGGGATCACAACTGAGAATCAACAGTTGCTGAAATCGGAAAAAAAAAAGAACAGGGTTAGAACAGCAGATGGAGCGGTTGAGGCCCAAAAGCAGGACGCCGGCGAAGGAGCCGATGGCCCTTGCGCACCTCCCACACGCTGGCGTAGATGCCCCCGGAGGTGGACACCGCCGACTGGGCCGCCAGAGTGCCAGCCGAGCAGATGGCCTGATGGTCGAGGGATGCCTTGGCCGAAGAAACCATGGTGCGCTCGTTCTGCACCACGAAGACGCTCAGGGCGATGACCACCTCCCGGCGGACGACCGGGCTCGAGTCGTAGCAGGCCGCCGGCAGCAGGGCCGTGGCCACTTGGGTCTCAATCTGGGCAACATGGTCCGTCCGCTCGAGGCCCAAAATCAAACACCCAAGAGCGTAGGCAGCCGCGGCGCGCACGGTCGGCGACGGCTCGGCCGGCACGGTCGGCGGATGGCCATGCGCCGGGGCACCCCCCGGACCGGGGCCAACCCCACCAAGGCCGCCAGGGCCACCGGCGCCGCCGCCAACCGTCGCCCGGTGGTACCCACCGGCCCCGGAGCCACCGGCCCCAGGTCCGAGACTGCTATACAACAGCAGGCGCTTGAGCTTGTCATGGGCATTGTCCCGAATGGCGGCCCACTGGGCGGCCTGGTGCCGGCGCCAAATCTCCGCCAAGCAAAGGGTCAGCCAGAGGCGGAAACGCGTGTTGTCCGCGGCCCCGGCATCATGGCTGCACCACTCGTCCTCATCGCAGTACCCCACACCGAGGCCCTCGGTGGAGAAGACATCCGGCGGCTCATGCATGCCGCCGCCCGGAGGCAGCCCCCCGCCAGCGACCCCGGCCGGGGGCAACCCCACCACCGGGAAGCCCGAGTAGCCAAGTCCCGAGGCAAGGGACATCGGCCCGCCGGTGGCCATCGGGCTTCCCAGCCCCGACACGCCCGGGCCACTGGCAGAAGCACGGACATATGTGTCCGTGGAAACTGGCGACCCGGCCAGCAGCGGCAGCCCCGGGGCCCCGCTGACGGCGAGGACGGCCGCCGCCGCGGCTGCGGCCGACCCCGGAGGCGAGGGCGTCGGCGTGGACAAGGTCCCCCCACGAGCGGCGCCAGGCCAGCTTGGGCCCGCTGGCACGAGCAGCCCCCCGGCCCCGGGGGTGGAGGCACGCCGGGACCGGATCACCGGCATCGGCCGAGAGTACCACTGCTCATCAAGCAGATGCAGGCAATTGGCAACCACGCCCAGCTGCAAGAGGGCCTGCTGGCCGGATGTGTGGTCATGCGACACGGAGGCCAGGACGAAGGCAGCCTCGACGCGCTCGCGCGTGCGAGGTGGCCCGGAGTCCGAGCCCGTGGCCCCGGAAGAGGGCGACGGCCCGGAACACAGGACCAGCAGGAAGGGCCGGAAGACATTGTCCTTAAGCATGTCCAATTTGCATGCACTGTCGATGGCAATGAGCTTGGTCCAGATGTGCATCAAGACCGACTGAATGGCCGCCGGAACCGAGGACTGCAGAAGCTTGCTCACATACGGGAACAGGCCCACCGACAGGGCCAGGTTGATGGCCCACGGTCCGACGTCCAGGAACTGCGCCAGCAATTGCAATGCCCGAAGCCGATGCACCGGTGACAGGAGGACCTGCAGAAGGATGGGCAATTGCTCCGGAGGCCGGCGTCGGTCACTGCCGAGCGACAGCCACACCTCGAAGGCAGACAGTTGGTTGGCGAAGAAATCGCTCGGCACATAATTGTCGATGGTGGCCACCGGCCCGGAAGATAGGTGCGGCGGAATTGGAATGGCCGAGTAGGAGGACGAGCAAACCAGGCTGGTGCTCGGCGAGGGGGGGGCCAGGTTCAGCTGTGACAGGAGCTGATCCAGCACCAGATCCCACGACCGCCACAGCGGATGCTGGAAGGTCAGCGGCAGGGCTGGCGAGGTCATCGGCGTGCAGCCGTACGCCCGCATGACGCGCTCAGCCAGCAGGTAATTCCGGAAGAGGGCTGCCACGAGCAAGTCCTGGCGGTACAGGCGTTGGTAGAGAACCCGCGGGAAGGTGGTCCAGGCAATGGTGTCGGTGATCGAGGTCAAGATCCAAGACAGCTCGCCGAGGGGGGTTTTGCGCTCGGTGAGGCGGCCTAATCGTTGTGAGGGCGAGGGGAGGGAGGAGAGGGGGGGGGGGGGGCGCGGAGGGGAAAGGCTGTTAGCAAGTGGATGGAGCGCAAACAAAAGGACAAAGAAAAAGACGAGACATGGAGTGGGGCCAAGAAAAAAATGCCAAGTCATACACACCGGGGATTCGGTTGACCACATCGATGGGCCAGCGCCGGCCACGAATCGGCGAACTGGTTTCACTTTGCAGGACATGGAAACGAACGGCCATCTCCACCGGAGTGGTCAAGCAACTGGTGAACAGATCGGCCGGCAAGTCCGGATGAGTGGGGAGGAACTCGTTGAAGGCACAGGCCGCCAGTTGGAGGCTATCGCGCACGGGGACCGGCAGATTCGGCGGGGGAAGCAGGGAGGAGGAAGCCTACGCGCGAGGATGGGAAGGAGAGGGTCAGAAGGAACTATCGAACACGGAGGAGAGGGTAGGAGCAGGAGCAGGAGCAGGAGCAGGAGCAGGAGCAGGAGCAGGAGCAGGAGCAG